CTTCTAGATCACTGGGGACACATCAGCCATCAAAACAGAGCCACTGTGAGCTCAAAGGAGCTCCCACTGGAATTAGGGGAGGCCGACGATAAAGTTCCAGATTCAGCGGTGGGGTTGGGGAGAAGCAGGGCTGCCAACAGGATCTTCTGAGTCAGGTGTGTTGGGGGTTGTGGGTGGGACCAGCTGAGGGGAAAGGTGAGGAGTCCAAGGTCGGAGTTCAGGGCATTCCAACATTTAGAAGCTTGGAGGAGGAGGAGGATCCGTGAAAGGACAGAGAGGGAGTGGCCAGGAAGTGGGGGACTGTCAGGGAGTGTGGGGACACAAGAGCCTCAGGAGGGAGGCAGTGGTTAACTGTCAGCGGCCCTGAGAGGCCACCTGTGATGTGCAGATGGGGAACCGAGCCCTGGCTTTGGAAGTGTAGTTCACCCGAGGGAGACTGCACCACGGAGTGATGGGGGAAAATAGGTGTGCTCCCCACTTCCTCCCCTCTTACCGCACTCCACCCCCTAGCCCAGCCCATCCTGCCCCATCCTCGTCTGTCCTGTCTCACATCTGTTCCATCTCAATGCGAGCCATGCAGAGGCCCGGGATTTAGGTCCCTCTTCCTCCCTCGCTACCTTCTCCTCATCAGAGCTCGATCTGACGGACAGGCCAGCAAGCATCGTGTGTGGGAGGTGCATGAAGGGGAGGCCAGGACACAGAATGGCTGAGCCCGACCTGGGGCCTCGTCCATGCTGGAGCCCTGCTGGGGACACCATCCCCCACACTCCTCTGTGCAGCCCGTCTTTGCGTCTGTCTACTTAGCAACACTTGTCCTTCACAGCTCAGGAAAAATTACCAAGAATGTTATTGACTCTAATTTTAATTTGCCTAGCACTCTTGTTAATGATGTCTATTTAAGACATCCATTAAAGGCCCACGAGGTTAATTAAATGGGCAATTCCAATATAGTTCTATTAGAACCCCCCATCAAATTAATATTATAACATTTACAGATGTCTTAATTAGACATTATAGAAAAGAAATGCGAACTAAATTAAAACGAAAGCCATTGTCCAGAAAGACAGCTTTTTACCATAATTTATGGCTTTTGGGGGGAATGTTCACGTTTATTCTTCAGAACCTGAGAGATCCGTCACTGACAATCTTTTCCAGCATCCGGAAAACCCCATCCTGAGAGTCCCAAATCTTAAATCACAGTCCAGGTGTCAGAGCTGGAAGACACTTGCACCACCATCTGGGATCCACGATCCTCACACTTCAGTGACCTGAGGAGCCCGCTGGGGTCTGAGAGACCCACGAAGCCATCTGGGGCACCCCTGGAGTCTGACGGCAGCCCAGGAGCTGGCTGCTTCAAACGGGTGTCCTGGTGACGCTACTGCAGGTGCTGGAAGTCCCAGGATCCCCCTTCAGGAAACCCTCATCTGGTCTCATGGCCCCACTTGCCAGCTGGTGACATGGAGGCCCCCAAGCATGTCAGGACTGGGCGAATGGGGCTTACAACTTCTCTAGCACCTCTCCCCTCCCACGGAACCAGGCAGGACCTGAAGCACCTCCTATGGGTTTGGGATCGGTAGGCAGAGCTCTGCCACCCGCTCCCACCTTCCTTCCTGCTGGCCCTGAGTCTCATGGGCAGAGGATGTCCTCGGGCCTCCACGACTGCTCTGCCAGCCTGGTCCTGAGCCTCAGTGTCCCTCTTCACATCCCACGGCAGCCTGGATCGAGCCCCCTCCTCCAGGTAGCCTCCCTGTCCACCCTGCCCCCTGTGCATGCATTTCCTCCCCCACCACTGTCCCTGTGCCTGATGGGAGGGTGACAGAGGAGCTCAGTGGTTTGCAGAAGTGAGAGGGAAGCCGGCTGTGGAGAGGCCGTTGGACCTAAGCTCCTGTCTGAGCCAGTCATGGAACCCAGTGTTGAGGAGAGCTCAGGGCCCAGCAGCTGGACCAGCTGAACTGGCTAGTGGCGCCAGCAACCTAGGCAGGGCTGTGGGCCAGCCAGGCCAGTGTCTGAGGACGGGATCCAGGCTGGGTACTGGAACCTTTTTGAGGGGCTCTGCTAGGGGCTCCTGTTCTGGGTGGGCAGCTCCACAGCTGTTCTGGACTGAATCATGTCCCCACAAATTCCTGTCAAAGCCCTCATCCCCCGTGTGACTGCACTGAGAAATAGAGCCTTTAAGGAGGCAATTACGGTGAAATGAAGTCCTAAAGTGGAACCCTAGCCTACAGGACTGGTGTCCCAATAAGAGGAGGGAGAGACACCAGATGGCTCTCTTTCCCGGCAGGTGTGCACTGAGGAAGGCCACACAAGGACACAGCAAGAAGGGGCCAAGGAGAAGGCTCTCACCAGACCCCAACCAGGAGGGCACCTTACACTCGGACTTGCAGCCTCTGCAGCGCTGGGGAAGGATGTTCTGTTTACACTGCCCGTCTGCAGTTTGGTTAGGGCGGAGCCAGCTAACGCAGGGGCCATGACCCGTGCCGCCCTTGCTTCCCCCTCCAGGTGCTTCGTCCTTTTCTTCCCCTGGAGGGGCTCCAGCCTGTCCTCTGTCCCTGCAGGAAGGCCTGGTCCCCCACATGGAGTTGGTATTGGGGAACGTAAAGGGCCCACGGGCCCACTCACTTTTTGGAGAACAGTGGGTGCCTGGGCTGATGTGTCCTGGCCTTGTGGCTCCTGAGTCCCATCCCCAGGGGGTCACCACTCTGCTGCTCCGTGGGACTCTCTGGTTCCTCCAGGGCGTGAGACCAACAAGTGAGGCTGACGTAGCTGTCTCCCACAGGCCTACACCTCCAAGGCCACAGCTCTACTGGGGCAGTGGAGGAAGGAGCCTGGACTCCACAACCGGCCCTGTGCTGGCGACCACAGCACCCTCCACAACCGGCCCTGTGCCACAGCTGTGGGGACGTGGCCAGCCCTGGTCCACCGCCGGAGGCCTCAGCCTGGTTTTGGGGAGCAGCTGGTGTGGCCTCATCAGGACACTCACCGAGAGCTAGTGTTCTGCCTGGCCTGGGCCCTCAGGGGCACAGTCCTCAGGGCATAGGACCCAGTGACCCCAGGTGGGCTGTGGGGACAACAGGGCATCCTGGAAACAGGCGGGCACAGTGGCAGCTTCATGGCAGGTGAGTGTTCTTGTCAAGTGTCCTCGGGGAAGTGGGGAGAGAAGGCTACTAATGAAACAGCCATTCACAGAGAAACTTGAGTCTGAGCCATGAAAAACATTTCACAAGCCAAGTGGCACCAACGATTCTGGAAGCGGTTGTATATTTACACATTGGCCGCCATTTCCCTACAGGGGGGTGGGCAGTAGCAGCTGGATTAGGGAACCATAGCACCAGGCTGTGCCCGGTGTGGCACACTTGGATGGGCGGAAGAACAAGCCACTTCACGGGGAAGGCAGCGACTTCCTCAGTGGGAGCCCAGGTGATGAGGGGACCATGTTACACACTGAGACCAGGGTCCTCTCATCCCCATGGTCAAAAGCATGGCTCTGCAGCCAGACTTTGGGGTCAAATCCCAGCTCAGCCCTCTCAGGTGGTGAGGCCCTGGGTAGCGAGCCCTGAGTCTGAGCCCGATGTGGCAAACCCAGGATGTCAGAGCACAGGGCTCTCTGGCCAGCCAGCTGCCCTGTCCCCAGCGGGGCTGGGACCTGAGACCTGCAGCACAGGTAGTGATGGCGGCAGTGGGAGAGCATCTGAGCTGACCCTGGACCATCCTGACGAGCCACGGACCCCACACGGATGAACACCCCAAGCCTCTGGGAGGTGCAGAGGCACTGAGTGAGGGCTTCCTGCTCTCCCATCAGAGTCGGAGTTTACATTCCCTCCCCACGGCCTTTCTCCTCCAGTGCAGGGGCCCAGCTGGACATACGGACAAAGCCAAGTGTCTGGATCCACTGCTTCTCCTGCAGCAAAAGAAAAAGCTCATGGACTTGCTGCCGGTTTGTTTCCAGCAACGTTTCTGCCCTCACCTGGTTGGTCGGCAAACGCTGACTTCTCAAAGGAACAGTCCATCAGTATTTCTGAGCCATGTGGCTTCCCGACCACCACACAGTGGAAGCTGGCCCGCCCATGCCCTGTCCCCACTCGGGCCTGCCTGCGAGCGCCTTACCTAATGCCTGGTAGGCACACGCCACACAGGCTGAGTCAGACCGAAGAGACAAGGCTTCTGGCGACAGCATGCAGCGAGAACCCTGTTGCGGACTCTCCTAGGACATGAGAGCTTGGGAAGAGCTGTGGTCTTGTTCCCCTTCAGCCCATCCTGGAGCCTAAGAGCCACAGCGACGAGAAGGCCCTGCAGGTCGGAGCTCCCTGTACTGAACGACCACTGCAAGCACCAGCTTACCTGGAATCCTGCATCCTGGCCCCGGTCCTGTACTACTTCCCAGAGCCATGAGCCCAAAGGCCCTCTGCGACTTCACCGCTCACTCTCCAGCTTTCTGGAAACAGCAGTTAGGTCCAAGAGTTCCACATGTCAGATGCTCCAAGCCCCTGCCCTCGGGAAGCAGGCACCTGAGGGCAGCTTCTGTCTACACTGCAGAAGTGGGGCCGCTGCCAGGGACAGCCTCCAGCCCACCTCCCTTCCAGCCAGGCTGGGCCATGGGCTTGGTCCTTCACCAGGACCCTCTTATTGTTGACACATGTATTTTATTATTACATAAACAATGGATTCATCACAGAACACTCAGGAAACAGAGAAAAGGATAAAAGAGAAATAAAAACCTAATAATGCCACCAGTCAGGTCAACCTGTGCCGATCCTGCCAGGGTTTTCTCTCATGGGAGCAATGCACACCCGTCGTCACCTAGAAACAGACAGCCCTCCATTCCCTGACTTTGCTCAATAAGGCACCTTTCTTCCCGGATGATGAACTGTTCTTAACTCCGGTGTTAACGGGCTGGGGGTGATGTAGAAGCAGAACCAGCCCAGCCGTGTCTCCGCTGAAAGGTGGGCATGCGGGTGTCCCCAGTCCTTGGGGTCCCAAACAGCCGTCTCCACAGCAGAGAGCTACAGGTCAGCTGTTCCCTTTGCTTTGAATTTCTTGTTAAATCGTTCACTTGACCGAAGCTGGAATTTGCTTCCATAAATGTAGGAAATGAAGCCATTGATTTCCACTGCGAATACACAGTTCAGCTTGGGGATAACTGGAAAAAAAAAATACAGGAGAAAAAGGACAAGGCAAAAAAAAAATCTTGACGGTTAAGCTCACAATGAAGCACAAGACCTTCCTAAAATGTCTGCATTAGAAGTAAGCTAGTAAGGAACGGAGAGTCCACAAAGCTCAGCAGCACAGGATGACAGGGCGTTTTTCTGCCCTAAGACCAATGTATTCAGATTTGAATATAACTCAACACTAATTTTTAGGGTCAAATGCTGTAAATCAAACTCCCAGAAAAAGTGCAAGAAACGGGTCTCCCCGTGTAGTTTTCAGACTGACTCATGGCTTTATGCCGTGAGTGAGGTCACCCAGACACCACTTTCTGAGGTTTAAAATGAGACAAGAACATATAAGAAAACAGAAGGAAGCAGCTGTGGTTTTGCAATCTCAGATCTGCTGGTAAGGGGTGTGGAAACGTCGACAGCGCAGGGGCTTATGCTCTTCTCTACCAGAACAAGGAGCTCTGCACACCCAGCGGGGGAGGCTGCACCTGCTTTCCTGGAACCCAAAGGGTTACCGGAAAGGGCCAGATCCTGGAACCCCAGGGACAAGCACTAAGCTGGCTCCCCTCAGGGTCTGCTTAGCTCCACTCCTTGGGGCAGGGCAGCAGGTTGGGGCAGGGGAGGGTCTCAGTCATGGAAACGGACCCTCATATCTGGAAGTGCAGCCCAGCAGCCCTGTCTCCAGTCCTATCTGGCTGTGACTCCTGGCTGGGCTCCAGATGCCCTGGGGAGAGCCGTGAGGGCAGGGGCGCTCTCGGCAGGCATGGGATGCAGGGCCAGCAGGGATCTGCAATCTGTGCTGACCTGAGAGGACAAATGGACCCCCTGAAGCCACGAGGAAAGGGCCGATGAAGCCGGGGAGGCCACAGGCCACACACCCTGAGACAGTTCCCTACCTTTCAGGCGGTCTTCTTTGGTGAGGATTTTGAAAACGTGCTTTGTTTCCTGTAGGAGGATTCCTGTAACACCCACATAGGACGAGCATTTGGACTTTGTGACTGCAAAGGAAAAGGGCATTCAAGGCCTCAGCCTCAGCGGCACTGGACAGCCACAACCAGCTAGGTGAGGGCAGTGGGGAGTGGGGGACTCCTCAGCTGGACAGGGACCAAGCTGGATGAGAGTCCGGGGTCCCAATCCCTTGCCTGTGGCTCTGTAGCCTCTGGGCTGTTCTGACAAGATGTCCTTTGGAGGGCCTGCAGCCACGGGGGTCTTGGGAAGGACTCTGGAGCCCAGAGGTCACGTGTGTGTCCAGCACCACCAAGATCCACAGGTTGCTGAGATGGGGTCAAGTCTCAGTGATGGGATCTGAAGGAACACCAGCGCATCACATCCTTCCCACGACCCACCAAACTCTGGCCAGAATGGGATCTTGTTACAAGCGGTGAAGCAGTGACTGAGGCGAACTGCCACCACAGGCAGTTGGCCCCTTGGCTCTCCTGACCCATGTCCCATGAAGCCTGTAGACAAGTCACTGAGCACCTGCCACGTGCCTGGCACCATCCGAGGTCAGTGCCGGGCGCGAGAGTGAACAAGACTGTTCTCGGTTCTGCTCTCAAGGAGCTGATGTTCTAATGGTAGAAGGGAATGTGTGCCACATCAGACGACTGCATTTTCTGATCGTGGTAACTGTTATGAAGAAAATACACAAGGTCATGGGGAGAAGTTTCACTGTTAGTCATGGTAGGCCCTCTGGGGAAGTGACGTGTGAGTAGGGACCTGAATACTGAGAAGCAGTCAGTCTGTGACACACAGAACTCTGGGCAGAGGGAAGGAACTACGGCAAAGGCCTGAGGTGGGGCCAAGCTTGGTGTGTGAGAACCAGAAAGCAGGCCAGTGTGGTTAGACTTGGTGCTCGGGAGAGCCAGAGGGGCCTTTTAGACCGCAGTAAGGAAGCAGAAGACAAACATGGCCTGAGTTTTGGCCTTAAACCTTCCCTCGGGCTGCCTGGTTGGAGAGAAGAAGTGTGTCAGCAGGGAGAGGGCGAGGCAGCTTCTACCGGAATCCAGGGGCGATGGCGGTGGCTTGGATTTGGGTGGTAGGACATGCTGATGAATGGTGCTGAGGGAGCAGGGAAGAAGAAAGGTGTTACCGCCCAGGTTTTGGGCCTAAACAACCAGGGTAAACACTGGTACCGTGAACAGAGCTGGGAACACCACGGCAGGGACTGATGTGAGGAGGCCGGAGTTGTTCTGGGTATGGACAGGTTGTGATGCCTGCTGGACAGGGGGGCAGCTGTGTGCGGGGTGGCTGGATGAATGACGATGCTCGGGAAGGTCTGCCCTGGAGATGACACTGGGAGCTGGGAGTCCATAGCTGAGACTGAAAACTGTGGGGAAATGGATGAAAGGGACTCTCCTCTTAGGGCTGGGGACATGTGCCAGCAGCTGCTGTGCCCCCTGGGAGAGCAGCAGGGGTCCCTGTGTGGAAAGACACACAAACCATTTAGAGTGTATCCAAAAAGTGGCCAGAACTGGCTCGGGTCGCTAGTCCTCTCCCAGCCTCAACGCTGGTGATGTGGAAACGTCCACGTGACAAGAGTGTGTCTAGCCCTGTGTCACAGAGCCACGCTGCTCTGTGGGCTCGTAGGCGAGGTACCTGAAACGAGAGCCCCATGAAGATCTGCCTTCAACAGCTTGGCCTGAATCATGTGCGGCTGCCTAGAAGGTAAGCAGAAGGCCTCCGTGCTGACCATGAGCGAGAGCTCTGAAGGGGCACACAGGTCTATGAACTTCTGCAGCCAGCTGGCTCCGAAGGCTGCATTCACAGTCATCGTAAGCCTTGGGTTCTGCCCCAAAGGGAGGGCTGCAGACGTGCAACTTCTGAAACATGCGGGCAGCACATTCTTTGGCAATAAACCCAGGGGATGATTCTGTCTAGTGCCTGTAAAAGCTGTAAAGAGTATATACCAAGATCCATCAGTTCCTGTCTCTCTGGGAAAGCCGAAAGACAAACAACCTGTTGCCATGGGTAACAGATTCACTTCCGGTGCGGGTCTCATTACTAAGGCTAGGACAGAAGCCAGACAAACAGCAAGAGCCTGGCTGTGCCTTGCTGTGAAAGCCAAGTGCAAACCCAGCCTGAGTTGGGAAAGGGAGGCTGCCCCCTTGTGGCGGCAGTGGGAGAAGCGCCCTTAGCTTCAGGGGAACTGGGTCTCCCAAAGCCCCACCCACTCCAGGAGGAGGAAGCTGCCTCAGGGAGAAAGGCAGGAAAGCCCTGGCATACCTCTGCTGCTCTGGCTTAATGTCGAAGAGGTGCGGCTTCCTCCTCTGCCTGGCAGAGAGGCCCTTGGATTTCTTTCTCTTCTTGCGCTTCCGGCGAGTGGCGTACTCCAGGACCACAGCCTTGCGTTGCAGCTGGTCCTCGCGGGCTTGCTGGCTCATGTGGGGCGTGCTGCGCTTCAGGAAGGCCCTCACGAAGGCCTCGGCCTGCTGGGCTCCCGGAAGCTGCATGGGGACAGGGCGGCACGGCGACGACTGTTCTGGTGGGGGCAGCCCCAGACCCCAGGCCCTCCTAGACACCGCAGGTGGGATGCCTACCCTGACCCATCTGCCTCCCGACTGAGCCCCACACAGCCTCTCGTCTGCTGAAGGTGAGCTCCCCACAGCTGTCCAGATGTGAAAGTCACCCTCAAATACCAATTCGGACGCTGCACAAAACAGCCACGTCAAAATTCAACTTCCTACTCTATGTCTCTGAGGTTATTGTGAAGGGATTACAAAGAAAAGCCCAAATCCCTTCTCATTAGGAAGAACAGGCTTCTCTAATCCTTGACAGGGAGGAAAGCTCAAGAAATTCAGTCAGGACCAGATGAAGGCAAGCTATAGCCTTGAAGGAATTATCTGAACACTTGGGAAAACAGTACCACCTGGTGCCCCAGGGTGGGCCATGCCTTGGGGGGCAGGAATCTGACAGGGTGCCCAAGTGGCAATCCCCTTTACTTGGGTTTGACCCCATGGATGTGTCATGGCTACTCGCTAAGTCTGTTCCTGCAGCACTTGGGGAAAGGAAGTACCAGTGCATCTAAGCCTCCTGGGCTCACTCTCTCCCAAGAGCAGAACAGCACTTGACCGTGACTCAGCACAGACTCCTAGGACATGTGAGCAAAAGAACTGTCCTAATACTGTGAAATTCTTGAGAGAACTCCAAATGTCACTGCCTCTCACGTGGGAAGTTCCACTGGTCTACTCCTCATTCGGCTGCCTGTGTCCTAGGCTGGCCACAGCCCAGGCAGCACTGTCTATGCAGGTCCTGCCTCTTGGCTGGGGATTTCCTGACCCCCTGCTGCGCTAAGCAGGCTGTAAACCCTGGGAAGCTAATGTGTCAATAATCATGCTCTCCCTTATGGAGAAGCGGGGCTGGCAAAGGGATGATGTGATACACTCGACCTTCAAGGTAGCTCACAGTCAGGAGGGCAGTTAGCTTCGACTTTGCACCTTAGATACTAACTAAAGATTCATTATCATCATTATTATTACTGTGACAGGACAATTACTTACTTTTTAAAAATACCCAAGTGGACTTCTTCTTTTTTTTTTTTTTTAAAAAGATTTTATTTATTTGACAGAGAGAGATCACAAGTAGGCAGAGAGGCAAGCAGAGAGAGAGAGAGGAGGAAGCAGGCTCCCTGCCGAGCAGAGAGCCAGATGTGGGACTCGATCCCAGAACCCTGAGATCGTGACCTGAGCTGAAGGCAGAGGCTTAGCCCACTGAGCCACCCAGGCGTCCCTAAGGGGCCTTCTTCATAAAGAAACCAAATAAAAGTGTATCAGTCTTTCAAAATCTTGATTTCCTGTTAACTTCCTCATTAGGAGTCCCCAGTGGAGCGTCTGCCAAACTGACAAAGCATGCTGGCAGCATCCAGATATAATCCGGGAATTCCACTTAGGAAATGTGATCGCCTGCCCTCTTCAAGAGCGAAGGGGGTGCAGTGACAAAGCCAAATGACAGTGCTCACTAGGGCAGGTTTCAGGTGGGCATAGCCAGTGTCCCCTACACAGTGGGAGAGGACACAGGATCAACAGGTTTCAGTTAACCAAACAAGGGAAAAAGAGGGCAGCATCTGGAAACAGGCCATCAGAACAGCAGATTTCAATGGAGCCTAACACATCTACTGGAAGGATGAGGAGTAAGACATGGGAAGGACATCTAAAGCAGTGCTAGGGGATCGAGCCATCTTTGTCATCACCTCTGCTGCTCCTAGACTTCCTGCCATGCACTGTACCTGAACGTCGAACTCTTCAGCCTCTTTCTGAGAAAAGGCATGGTAAGATCATACCTGGGGGATTCGAATAAATAAGAAATGATAATTCAGGTTGGGCATGAGTATAAGACTCATGACTTTTATAACCATGAAACTAACTATGGTTATTTAGACATAGAAGACAGGGATGCTACAGAGAGCAGAGGTTTCTAAGCTTTCTTGGATGCCTCTTATTCTACCCTCTGGCCACCCATCCTAGGAGTTACAAGAGTGTGCTTTCAAACAGTGCTTCTCTGGGTGCCTGGGTGGCTCAGTCAGTTGAGTGTTCAACTCTGATTTCAAGTCAGGTCATGATCTCAGGGTCCTGGGATTGAGTCCTGTGTCTGGTTCTGCATTCCAGGTGAGTCATTCTTGCTTGAGAATCACTCTGTTTCTCTCTTCCCCTCCTGACTGAGTGTGCACTCTCTCAATTAAATAAATAAATAAATATTTAATGAAAGTTATATGATAGCGATTCCCTGCATGCAGATTTTGGAAATATTACATTTTGTTGACTGTAATATGTTTAAAAGATTTTTCACATATTTATGTCCATGAAATTGGGGTGTGTCATAAGATATCTGGGGATGAACCTAACCAAAGAGGTAAAGGATCTGTACTCGAGGAACTACAGAACACTCATGAAAGGAATTGAAGAAGACACAAAAAGATGGAAGACCATTCCATGCTCTTGGATCGGAAGAATAAACATTGTTAAAATGTCTATACTGCCTAGAGCAATCTATACTTTTAATGCCATTCCGATCAAAATTCCACTGGTATTTTTCAAAGAGCTGGAGCAAATAATCCTAAAATTTGTATGGAATCAGAAGAAAGCCCGAATTGCTAAGGAAATGTTGAAAAACAAAAATAAAACTGGTGGCATCACGTTACCTGATTTCAAGCTTTACTACAAAGGTGTGATCACCAAGACAGCATGGTACTGGCATAAAAACAGACACATAGACCAGTGGAACAGAGTGGAGAGCCTAGATATGGACCCTCAACTCTACGGGCAAATAATCTTCGACAAAACAGGAAAAAATATACAGTGGAAAAAAGACAGTCTCTTCAATAAATGGTGCTGGGAAAACTGGATAGCTATATGTAGAAGAATGAAACTCTACCATTCTCTTACACCATACACAAAGACAAACTCAAAATGGATAAAAGACCTCAACGTGAGACAGGAATCCATCAGAATCCTAGAGGAGAACATAGGCAGTAACCTCTTCGATATCAGCCACAGCAACTTCTTTCAAGATATGTCTCCAAAGGCAAAGGAAACAAAAGCGAAAATGAACTTTTGGGACTTCATCAAGATCAAAAGCTTCTACACAGCAAAGGTAACAGTCAACAAAACAAAGAGGCAACCCACGGAATGGGAGAAGATGTTTGCAAATGACAGTACAGACAAAATATTGATATCCAGGATCTATACAGAACTCCTCAAACTCAACACACACAAAACAGATAATCATATCAAAAAAATGGGCAGAAGGTATGAACAGACACTTCTCCAATGAAGACATACAAATGGCTATCAGACACATGAAAAAATGTTCATCATCACTAGCCATGAGGGAGATTCAAATTAAAACCACATTGAGATATCACCTTGCACCTGTTAGAATGGCCAAAATAGCAAGCCAGTAAACAACGTGTGTTGGAGATGATGTGGAGAAAGGGGAACCATTTTACACTGTTGGTGGGAATGCAAGTTGGTGCAGCCACATTGGAGAACAGTGTGGAGATTCCTTAAGAAATTAAAACTACAGCTTCCCCATGACCCTGCAATTGCACTACTGGGTATTTACCCCAAAGATACAGATGTAGTGAAAAGAAGGGCCATCTTTACCCCAATGTTTATAACAGCAATGGCCACGGTCGCTAAACTGTGGAAAGAACCAAGATGCCCTTCAACGGACGAATGGATAAGGAAGATGTGGCCCATATACACTATGGAGTATTATGCCTCTATCAGAAAGGATGAATACCCAACTTTGTATCAACATGGACAGGACTGGAAGAGATTATACTGAGTGAAATAAGTCAAGCAGAGATAGTCAATTATCATATGGTTTCACTTATTTGTGGAGCATAACAAATAACATGGAGGACATAGGGAGATGGAGAGGAGAAGGGAGTTGAGGGAAATTGGAAGGGGAGGTGAACCATGAGAGACTATGGACTCTGAAAAACAATCTGAGGGTCTTGAAGGGGCGGGGGGTTGGGAGGTTGGGGGAACAAGGTGGTGGGTATTAGGGAGGACACATATTGCATGGAGCACTGGGTGTGGTGCAAAAACAATGAGTACTGACACACTGAAAAGAAATTAAAAAAAAAAAGAAATTGGGTGTGTCATACAACAATGGTGTCCTTCAGTGGTGAAACACAGTTAGGTCTTTCTTTAAGCTCAAAATATATATTGATCAATGTGGTTTCAACCTTAAAAACTTCCACACTCCTGCTTCTACTTAATTCTGATGAAGAAAAACATGGCTTTGGGGACACAGTATGGGTCTAAATGCAAGACGTATAACAGAAAGGCCTGGTTTCAGGTCCAAGAGACTACAAAATCTGATTCACACAACACTCTATAAATTCCATCCCAGCTCCCTTGGGCTTCCTGGAGTACATCTGGACAAGAAAACCAAAGCACTTATATTATACAATATACACAGTATATTATATTATATAATGTACAGAGTCTTATTTTGCTTCAAATGCAAGAATGGCGTTAAAACCTGTTTCTTTTTTTTTTTTTTAAAGAATTTATTTATTTATTTATTTGACAGAGAGAGATCACAAGTAGGCAGAGAGGCAGGCAGAGAGAGAGAGAGAGGGAGAAGCAGGCTCCCTGCTGAGCAGAGAGCCTGATGTGGGACTCGATCCCAGGACCCTGAGATCATGACCTGAGCCGAAGGCAGAGGCTTAACCCACTGAGCCACCCAGGCGCCCTAAAACCTGTTTCTAAAGAGCAACCCCAGAATGACTTTGCTTTAACTGTCACAGGTGCTTCGATTAGACTTGAAACTCTTTTCTGGAATAAAACACATCTAACAGTTACTGAACACTCATTATTTGTCATGCACCTGGCTAGAAGCTACACATTTTATCTCATTATATTTTCTGAACAATCCTTTAAAGTAGACATTATTCCTATAATGCACATGAGAAAACTGAAGCTCAGATATGCTGAGACCCATAAGTGGATCACAGAGATAGAGAGTGGCAGAGGTGGGGATGAACGTACTGGTCCAAAGACCAGTTTTAATGGTGTCTATACTCCCCTGCTTACAACTGCCCTGAGGGATTGCTCCCTTCCTTGACATAGCTGTTCTCTGCTCAACTCCCAAGGTCCTGGGTTATGATACCATTCTTCAGCATGCTCAGATCAGGATGTAGTGACAACATTAGGGTTTGAAGCTGACAGCTAAGAAAGAATTCTTGAAACCTCTTTTGTACAAAAAGGTGGTTTTATTTAAACACGGGGACACAACCCATGGGAAGAAAGAGCTGGACCAGGGTCATGAAGAGTGGCCCTTTATATACTTTCAGGTTGGGACAGGGTTAGGGATAGTGGAATTTTGGAAACAAGGTTTCTAGGGCCATGAGAGGGCTAGCTATTGTTAAAAATAACATGGAGGACATGGGGAGATGGAGAGGAGAAGTGAGTTGGGGGAAATTGGAGGGGGAGACAAACCATGAGAGACTGTGGACTCAGAAACACACTAAGGGTTTTGGAGGGGAGGGGAGGTCAGGGGTTGAGTAAGCCTGTTGGTGGGTATTGTGGAGGGCACGTATTGCATGGAGCACTGGGTGTGGTGCATAGACAATGAATTCTAGAACGCTGAAAAGAAATTTTTAAAAAAGTGTCATTTATTACTATCTAATAAAACCTGAGTCATGAGGCCCTTCAGAAGTTAATCAGTGGTCCATATGCTTGGGAGATGATTGCCAACACAGATTTTCGGGGGCTTAAAATAAAGGAAGTTTCCAAAAGAATGTTTTTTTTTTAAAGATTTCATTCATTCATTTGACAGACAGAGATCACAAGTAGGCAGAGAGGCAGGCAGAGAGAGAGGAGGAAGCAGGCTCCCCGCTGAGCAGAGAGCCTGACAAGAGGCTTGATCCCAGGATCCTGGGATCATGACCCCACCGAAGGCAGAGACTTAACCCACTGAACCACCCAGGCGCCCCATCCAAAAGAATTTTTATATGTTAAAGTAGATTTACAGGATACTGGGAGGGGGTGGGGCTAGCACTGCTTTATGCCCTTAACAAAATGTCAACATCAAGGCAATTGAGTCCCTAGAGGAGGGCTACTCTCCCTGTTTCAAGGACTTGCCAATGGGCTGTAGGTAGTAAGGAAATTTAATAATTTTTCCTCAGCCTTTATTTTCCGCATCACTTTCCACCAGACAAGGGTCATTCACAGAACAGCTGGCGGGGCAGGAACCACCATCAGCACCTCACAGAAGGGGAAACCAGGTCGCAGAGAGGATGGGGCCTTAACCACAGTCAGCAGGTGGCAGGTGTTAGGGTCCGTGATCAAAGGAAGGAGACTGATACAAAGCGAAGGTCAAGCAAAGCTTTATTTCACGCCAAGCATCAAGAATCAAACTGACTGGGGCGCCTGGGTGGCTCAGTGGATTAAAGCCTCTGCCTTCGGCTCAGGTCATGATCCCAGGGTCCTGGGATCGAGCCCCGCATTGGGCTCTCTGCTCGGCAGGGAGCTTGCTTCCTCCTCTCTCTCTCTCTGCCTGCCTCTCTGCCTACTTGTGATCTCTATCTGTCAAATAAAATAAAATCTTAAAAAAAAAAAAAAAGAATCAAACTGACTGGTCAGGGCTGTCTCTTATGAAAAGGTGAGGATGAGGACCCCAGCAAGGCCGATCCCAATGTGGCCGCTCTGGACAAGGCTGCTCCCTAGACAGGGCCACTCCCCAGACAGGGGCTGCTCTGGTGAGGCCCCTCCCTGAGGCCATGGCTCAGGGCGGTGGGGCTGCTGGCGGCTCTGA